TCTCCGTAGCTACAGGTGTTGGGGGAGTCGCGACAATTCCCAGTTCTGCCAACGTCTTTGAGGGAACGGTTTTGTTTGCTCCCAGTTGCTCAGAAGCATCCGGATATTTGTAGTGATATTCATTCCCACTCCGTGTTGCAAAGGTCTCCTGTTCATCTTCAGAAAGCGGGAAGGCTGGGATTTCCTCGTCGTCTTTTCCTGGAATAGCAAAAGCTCCATAACAAGACTTACCTTTTCCTTTTGACCTCTTTTTGGAAGAGGCTCCGGTCCATTGTTCATCTCCAACCAAATCTGGATGAACCCAAAGAATCTCACCATTCGGGGCCGTGTGTGGTACAAGTCCCTTCTGGCGCTGTTTATGAGGATCATCGTTCACGGTCTTCACCGTTGCATTTATTACCGGCTCATGCTGGAACCAGTTCAAGGGAACAGAACCGAAGCTAATCGATACTGCATTTGCACCCACCTTCTTCTCCTTAGGTTGTTTCATAGTGATGACCCCAACATCAATCAAAGCTTGAATCTTATCCTTAAGGGCGTAGCACGACTTGGTAGGGTGGTGAACTGCTCTGTGAAACGCGCAATATTTCGGGTCATTAACCCTTTTGGCGTCTTCCTGATCTTGGATTGGCGGCAACTTAATCTTATTGTTTTCTATAAGGTATTTAAAAATACCGGGAACTTCATCTTCCTTGAATGAGTAAACCTTCGGGAATTTTGGTTCCGAAGTCTTCTGTTTTTGAGGCTGTTGTTGCCACCGTGACTGTTGAGGCGCCCTCTGCTGCTGCTGTTGCGGTTGCGCTTGCACTTCAAATGTTTGGTTCGCATCTACTGCATTCACCTGTGCTTTCCCTTTTCCCTTAGGGACAAAATTTTGTTGCGGGGCTGGTGCCGTCGTTTGACCTCTTTCGGCTTTTTTTCTCTTGAGGAAACGTTCGGCTCTTTCCCCTCGGACCTTCAAGTCTTTCCAGGTCTTAGATGGTGCCATTCCCATAGCTTCAAGAATATCCAATGAAAGATTGTTATGACAAGTCTCCAGAATAAAGTCTTCACTAATCGGATCCCTACAATTCATGGCCTTGTTTCGGAATCGCTTAATGAAATTCTCTACTAACTCTCCGTCCTTTTGTTTCTCATCAAATAATGTCCCGATCGAGACCTCAGTGTCGTCGTCAAAGAAATTTGTGAGAAACATATCCTCCATGTCATCCCAACTGGCGATGCTCCCCGGCTTGAGGCGGCGATACCAATCGAAGGCTGCTCCGCGAAGAGTGCCGACGAATGACCGTACCATCAGAGGTTCGTTCCCGGAGATTATTCCCAAATGAGACTTGAAGTATATTAAATGCTGCGTGGGGGAACCCTTTCCATCAAATGGCGTGAAATTGATCAAATTGAATTTTGCTGGATACGGGATTGATTCCCACTCCCTTGGGTATGGGCACGGTATTCCAGACCTTTTCACTTCCTGAGCATTCATCAACGCATTGATCTTGCTCTCCAAATCCCTCATCTTCTTGTCTTCACCCGTATCTGTCTTCGAGTGGTTTCGGGGAGAGGTAACGTGGTCCTCTTTCGTATTGTTATCATCCGAAGGGCCACCCCCATTATTGTTATTGACGGGAGGGGTGTTCATGTTGACATTATCCTCCCCTTCTCGATCATTATCAGCTTGGTCAGGATTGTTACGACGGCTAGTCTCTCCTTGATGAGTTGTCAATATCGCAATCTGTTGGTCATGCATTTCTCTCATCTGCTGCATGGCCATTTCCATTTCGAACTTGAAGTTTTCCTTCTGCTTAGTCAGGGCATCCTCAAGTATTTTGGCCATCTGTTCAGTGCTAATCATAAGTGACTCATAAGACTGTCCTGCACTTGATGCGGTGTCATCGGAGGCCATCGCCGAGCAAGCATCCGAGCCGGCATCCGAGTATACCTCCGAAGTTTCATCTTCTGAAGGAAGTCCCTTCTGTATTCTTTGGTAGTTCTTTCGCCTACTGGTCCCTGTTCGCAATCGAGTCATACGTTGGGACACTTCGGTGAACTGATCCGGACTGAAGTGTCGTGTTGACTTTCCTCTTCCGGTCATGTTAACAGATACTTTTAGAAATTCATCATCTTGGAGAACAACTCTCTTCTTTCGGAAACGTCTTGGTCTGGATTCAGACGTTTTGGTGGAGATTCTTTCAAATACTGAAACTCTCTCCGGGGTGGTCTTGGAACAGCAACATTCTGACAACACTGCCTTGATGATTTTGGCACATGGACAGTGAGAATCTGTTTTCCGGGCACTCATTTTCCTGGATTTGTTCGCACCCCCAGCTTGATAGTACAACTCGTCAGTTTGATGACTGGAGCAACCTATCGTGTGTTGGCACGACTTCCCAGGTATAACGTCTTCGTCTGACGAGTACGTTTTCTTCTGAGGATACAACGCTTTGTTAGCATTTTCAGGAGTCGCATGTCTAAGGCGACGTTTTTGTGAATGTCGGCCCTCAACAGGCTCCTGGATTTCAACACGCAGTCCAATGCGGTCATTTACGGGACTTTTCCCGTTATACCTTCTCTTCCACTGCTTAGGATGACGACCTCCAGCCTGACAATGTGCTCGAGATTCATTCAATCGGCCTAAGCGCTCTTTGACCGGAGTTTTGCCCCGATCATCGGGTGAAGGGCCAAGGCGATCTTTGATGGTCATCTTGAAATGGGACAAATCCACACTGTCACAAATCTCAACCGGAGGTGCGGAACTCGATGGAATCGAAGAAATAGGTGCAGGACACTTTCTGCCTTGAATCTGTTGCGAGTCAGACTTGGGTGACCCGCAAGTTGGAAGGTCGGATTTGGACGACCCGCAAGTTGGAAGGTCGGATTTGGACGACCCGCAAGTTGGAAGGTCGGATTTGGACGACCCGCAAGTTGGAAGGTCGGATTGGAGTGACCTGCGTTTTGGCGGGTCAGATTGAAGTGACCTGCGTTTCGGCGGGTCGGATTGAAGTGACCCGCGCTTTGGCGGGTCGGATTGAAGTGACCCGCGATTTCGCGGGTCGGATTGGAGTGACCCGCGTTTTCGCGGGTCGGATTGGAGTGACCCGCGATTTCGCGGGTCGGATTGGAGTGACCCGCGTTTTCGCGGGTCGGATTGGAGTGACCCGCGATTTCGCGGGTCGGATTGGAGTGACCCGCGTTTTCGCGGGTCGGATTGGAGTGACCCGCGATTTCGCGGGTCGGATTGGAGTGACCCGCGGAGACAAGTTTAGTCTCAATCAGTGCCCTAAAGGTAACCTTGAAATTCAGGAAATGCAGAAGATTCCTTATGCTTCGGCTGTAGGAAGTCTAATGTATGCTCAGGTATGTACGCGTCCGGATATTGCGTACATTGTTGGGATGTTAGGCAGATACTTAAGCAACCCTGGTATGGATCATTGGATAGCAGTCAAAAGGGTTATGAGGTATCTTCAGAAAACAAAAGATTACATGCTCACATACAGAAAATCAGAGAAATTAGAGGTCATTGGGTATTCGGACTCTGATTTTGCTGGATGCCAAGATAGCAGGAAGTCTACATCAGGCTACATTTATATGTTAGCAGGAGGAGCTATATCATGGAAAAGTGTCAAACAAACACTAGTAGCTTCCTCCACTATGGCAGCAGAATTTGTAGCTTGCTATGAGGCATCCAATCAGGGAATATGGCTGCGAAATTTTGTCACGGGACTGCGCATTTTGGAAAATGTTGAAAGACCACTAAGGTTATATTGTGACAATAAATCTGCAGTAATGTATTCCAATAACAACAGGAGCTCAACTAAGTCAAAACATATTGACATTAAGTTCCTGGTTGTGAAAGAAAGGGTACAGAGTGGACAGATATCCATAGAGCACATTGGGACAAACTCCATGATAGCTGATCCTCTTACTAAGGGATTGCCACCTAAGGTCTTTCATGAGCATACTGCTCATATGGGTGTGGTATTATTTGAGGATATTATGTTTTAGTGGGAGTTTGTATTTGTGGTGCTTTATGTTTGTTTGTATTGTCTGATCAGAATAAAGTTTTCAGTTAAGACACTCTGTTACATTATGTTTGGTTTTGACCTCACTAAGGAGGACCAGTTGAAAATAGACATGTACTGATCACATTGCATGTAATTTTCATGCTGGTCCTCCTTAGTGAGGTCAAACCCAAACATAATGTAACAGAGTGTCTTAACTGAAAACTTTATTCTGATCAGACAATACAAACAAACATAAAGCACCACAATTACAAACTCCCACTAAAACATAATATCCTCAAATAATACCACACCCATATGAGCAGTATGCTCATGAAAGACCTTAGGTGGCAATCCCTTAGTAAGAGGATCAGCTAACATGGAGTTTGTCCCAATGTGCTCTATGGATATCTGTCCACTCTGTACCCTTTCTTTCACAACCAGGAACTTAATGTCAATATGTTTTGACTTAGTTGAGCTCCTGTTGTTATTGGAATACATTACTGCAGATTTATTATCACAATATAGCCTTAGTGGTCTTTCAACATGTTCCCCTATCAATTTTCTCATATCCGTTTTGTATCTGCATACATATCTGCTCATACATCCCCATGTATATCCGTAACCGTATCTGATTTTAGCGGATATGGTTATGAATTTTTTTCTTACCGAGATATATCTATATCTGTATCCGTATCCGAGATGGGTAAGCGGATATGGATATGGTAAGCATCATATCCGAGCCGTATCCGGACCGAGTGCACCCCTACTAACCATGCATCAACTACACTTAACTGAAGACAAAGAAAATAAATGAAAATTACATATTGTCAACAGAGTATATCCCAGTGAAAGTTGTAGATCATAGATTTTTTTTTTTTTTTTTTTTGCTTACATCTAATTAATTTCTACAGCGAATAGCCACTTTCACATGATTCAAGTGAAATCATGATTATCACAAAGACAATGCAATTGACTCTTTCTTCTTAGTTCGTACATTTGGCAAACTACTTGATCTTTTCTTTACAAACAATTTACAGCATACATATCATGAGTATTAATCATGCATGTATGATGGGTCCCCTTCATTAAACCAGATTCATAAATACTAGTAATGTTTCTATTTTCCATATTATTACAAGAATTTTATTCGCATTCTCGGACAAATATATGGACTTTTTATTTAAATGACGCCCCTCTACATATGAGGAGGCCCACAACTAGATTGATTCATCATAAAAAACCAAAAACATAGAGGGACTTACTTACCTTGATAATGATCAAGATAAAAGAGGCAGCATAGCGTGCCGAGCCTTATACTTGGCCACCAAGGGCTTAAGCATGGGCACATCGAAAGCCCGACCCTCAGTCATGTCTACGAGCTCCTCTCCGACTCTCTCCCACTCGAAGCACTGAAGCAAACCTCCTAAAGCCATGAGTATCACTCTCATTGCCAAACCTGACCCCGGACAATTCCTCCTTCCGATCCCAAAAGGAAAATACACAGTCTCCAGATCTTTCATCTTCTCCTCAGCATCCAAGAACCTTTCAGGCTTGAAGCTCGTAGGATCAGTCCAGTGCTCAGGATCTTGGTACACTGCATACACATTTGGAATTAGCATGGTACCCGAAGGAACATGGAATCCTCCGATCGTGCACTCATTTCTTGATTCGCGGGGGACAAGGAGGGGATCGACAGGGCAGAGCCGAAAGGATTCTTTGACGATGCTGCTGAGGTAGGGAAGATTGGGGATGTCAGAGTAGTCGAGAAGGCGATCATGACCCACAAGGGAGTTTATTTCAGAGGTTGCCTTGTTCTTGGCTTCAGGATGGTTGAGGAGAAGAGCCATGGTCCATTCAAGTTGTTCGGTTATAGTGGGAATCCCAGCTATTAACAGACTCTGCATGTGTTCATGAAATTTGTCAAAATCGCATTAGTAAGCAATACATGTTGGAGATTGTGGTTAAATCTGGAATAAAACAGTAAAAGTTGATGTACTGTAATTTTAAACTTTTTAAGTTAACTGTTGTGTATTTGTGAAACGCTGTGCTTAAAGCAATATTTCGTCTACTCCGAAACAATGATCCCAAGGTCAAACTGCTTCAAAGAACAGCAGTACAAAACAATGGTGTGTACCAACCAAGTATTGTCAAGATCTTATCGATCTATAAGACCTTTCGGTCAAGACAAAGATCTCCTCGATCTCTTAAACCTTTCGGTTTAGGCAAAAATCCTTTGGGCATAGGCTCTGTAGCAGTAGCAGCACAACAGTTACTTCGGGCACAGACTTTGCACCAGCAGCAGCACAACAGTTCCTTCGTGCACAGGCTCTGCACCAGCAGCAGCACAACAGCTCAATATATTTTCGTGTGTATACCAGAGCTCACCAAGAGCTGCCCCAAGAGGCACTATTTACAGGCCTCTAAGGCCAACTCAAGAGTCACCTATAATCAATGTGACTGTTACAAATCATTATGATTGTAACAACAATTAATTTAAATAATGTTGTAACTGCTGCATACAGTAACGTCTAAAAGCGAAGGTCGCGTTGCACCTTGCAGCAAATCAGACGAACTTCATCGATCGGGCTAACCTCGTCAAACAAACGAGTTTCCTAAATTAGACGAACCTCGTCAGTAAGATATATAGAGTAAGATATATATAACATTATTCATCATGTCAACTTTTTTTTCACTTCCTATCATTCAAATAAGATATATGTACATAACATTATGAAAGTAAATATAACATTATTCGTCATGTCAACTTTTTTTTTCACTTCCTATCATTCAAATAAGATTTTACAAATATATATAGAGAAAGTAATAAGAGAGTACTTTGTCGAGCAAATACTTTCTTTTTTTCAATTTCAGTTTACTTTACAGTCGTCAAACTCGCAGCCTAATTTGCCCAAATGAAAATAAAGAGGATTGATCCCAATTCAAGTTTGATAGGGGTGGAATGGAATCAAATTAAATAGAATATTTCACTATTAGAATTCGAATAATGTAGAATTTGAAATATTTGAAATCAAGTTGAATAGGATTTGTATTCAAATTTGATTCGGTAAATACTATACTGTTCAATATTTATTCATGAATATCTAATAGGGTCTAGCCTAATTAGTAAGCTACCTATGAGTAGTAGACAATGTCTCAAATTTGACTTTCTAGGGGAGCACCCATATGAAATTTATTTCCTAAAATATTTTAGGTTCCCTTGTCAAACAAAAAAAAATATTTATAAACAGATATGCATTAGGGGTTTGTTTGATACAAGGGTAAAAGGGTTAAAACTTTATCCTGGTAAATTTTTTCTTAACTTTAAACATATTTATTATCATGTTAAAATTTCACTAAGGTTAATAGTTTAACCATATATGAGGATAAACTTTAACTAAGTGAAGGGGTAAGATAAAAAAAGAGAAAAGTTTATGCTTGAATCATTTAACTATATGCAATTATACATAACACCAAAAATTCCAAAACTTACCAACAAGCCCAAAAATTAAAAAAATTATCAATATTCCCTTGTAAAATAGAAAATTACAAACAACCACCATCAATCTCAAAGCTATAAATAAACCCTCAAAATTTTCAAAAATTGCAAAAACATCTTAGAAATTCAAACATACAAATAACAGTGAAACTTCCAAATCTTACAAGAAGCCCGGCGAAATTTTTTTGAATTTACAAAAAAGCTTTAAAAATTACAAAAGCCACTCTCAAAAACCAAATTAAAAGAACAAAGTGAAAATTATGAATCTAATCTATTACAATGAAAATCAAGGAAATACAAACAGCCCCAAAAGTTTTGGAATTCATAGAAAACGCCCTAAAACTTTAAAAACTTGCAAAAAACTCCATAAAAATTATAGATGTACAAACATAACTGAAAATTTCAAATACAAAACAATAAATTGAGAATCTAAGATTTACAAATAGCCCCTAAAATGTTTTAAATTTGTAAAAAACATGCCATAACTTTTAAAAATTAACAAAAACATCCTCAGAATTTTAAAACTTATAGAAAAAGCTTTAAAATTTCAAACCTAAAAAGGAAAATTAAAAATATATGAATTGCAAATAGACACCTCAAATTTTAGAATTTGTAGAAAGCACCCTAAATTTTCAAAGTTGAAAAAAATCAAAATTTTAAATTTTACAAAAAATTCTACGAATATTTTGAATCTACAAATAGTACATTGAAAATCTTAGAATTACAAATGGCCCCTTAAAATTTTTGTGAACATAAAAATTTTAAATCTTACACAAATGCCCTCAAAATTTCAAAATTTGTACAAAGAGTCCGAAAACTTCAAACCAAGAATAGTACCCTAAAAAAAATATAAGAATTACAGATGGCCCCTGGAATCTTTTATTTGTAAAATCAAACTGAATCTTTCAAAAGTATCAAAAAACATCGTAAAATGCAAACTTTTTTAGAAACTCCTTTAAAATTTTACAAACTAAAAAATCTAGGATTACAAACAAGCACTTAAAAATTTTAGAATTTTCAAATGCACGCTAAAACTTTTAAAAATCATAAACACACCATAAAAAGTTTTGACATTTACAAGAGTCAACCTGAATAGGTAAAAAATTACAGAGAGGTATTTTCTTGTTATCTCAATTTTTGAGGGATCTTTTAGCATATTTTAAAATTTTTAGGGTATTTTTTGTAAATTCAAAATGTTTCAAGGGGCTGCTTGTAATTCCTAGATTTTTAGCATACTAGTTGTAGGTTTAAAATTCTTACATTATTTTTTGTAAATTTCAAATTTAGAAGGTGTTTTTGCAATTTTTGAAAGTAAGTGTATTTTCTCCAAATTCCAAAATTTTTAAGTTGCTATTTATAATCCTAGTTTCCAATTTATTATATGTACATTTGAAGATACTTTTGTAAGTTTTAAAATTTTGAGGTTTTTTTGCAACTTTTAAATGTTTTAGGGTGTTTTTTATAAATTTAAAAAAATTTAGGGAGCAATTTATAATTCTTAGATTTTCCATGTACTGTATTCATTTTGAAAATTATAGTATTTTTTGCAAATTTTGAAATTGTAACTCTTTTTTAATTTAAAAAAGTTTCAAGGTATTTTTTTGCAAATTCCAAAAATTTTATGATGTTCTTTATAAGGTTTGAAATTTTAGTGTTATTTATATGTTATAAATTATGAGGATGTTTTTGTAAACTTTTTTAATATTTTGGATTAAGAATGGAGTGATCCGTTTGAGGTTAACTTTTATCCTAATTGAAATACCAAACATAAAAATATTTCCCATGTTAATTTTTCTAGGGTGATAATTACTATATTAAAGATTTCTTTAACCTCATACAGTCATACCAAACAAGTTCCAAGGGAATTGGTTGTGTTTTGGTTTCTTTTCTCTATAATCTTGTGTTTGAATCCCACAAATGAACCCTTCTCTTTTGTATTTATTTCCCTATTTATTGTCGCTAGCTTACGATCAATTCCAATAGATTTTTCTTTCTCATCTAATTCGATATTGGTTGCAATTATATTACCATAAATTGTGCTAGACTTTTTTCCTTTTGCATTTATTTTTATACTACTATGATGCACATGCATTACACGTGTTTTTATTTTACTATTTCTATGCAATGATAATTTATGTAGTTAATGTATATTTTTATTATATATAGTATTTCAAATTAGTTTTATTTGTAATCGAAAATTTATTAGATATCAAACTAATTTTCTCAGTCATAACTTTATACTTTTTATTTAGGGTAAATTCAACAAAAGCCTCCAAATAACCTTTTGAACTTTTAAAATATCACGAAACCTCCTTAAGATCTGGGATTCTCAAAAAAACCCTTTCAACTTTTAACATTGTTAAAAAAACCTAAAAGTGTAAAATACAATTTTCATTGGAAGAAACATCACTCTACATAAATGTACCTTCATTTGAAAAAGAACAAAGTCAGCATTAACATCATAAAGATGAATTTTCTAAAAATTGTTGAAAATTTGAGGGGACTTACTGAGATCACTAAAGATTAGTAGGGTTTTATGACAATTTGTGAGTTAAGTGATATTATCCAAGGAATACCGAAATTTAAGCAGTTTTCTAAAAGGCTAAAAAACACGTAGCTACCTTATAATTTATTAAATTAACTTACTTATTTATTGAATTATTTATTTAATTAATAATAATTAACTTATTAATATAGAATAATGTTTAGCATCAAACTGATAAGCTACATGAATAAGACAAGAGTTTCTTTTTGCTTCTTTAAGTCAATGCATGTAACCATATAAGAAATCACCAAAAACCTCATAGTTAACAAAATCCAGCACAAACATCATTTGAGATAAAATCAAAATGCGAAAATGGGATTGGGGATGAGATCGATATCATCAGCAATTCTGGAATTCTTCAAAAATGGGAAGATGTTGGGAATGGTCAACTCTACTTCCATCACTCTAATTCCAATGGTAAAATGTCCTAAATCACCCTCTGATTTCAGACCTATATCCTGCTGCAACTGCCTGTATAAATTCATCTCCAAGATTTTAGCTGACAGAATTAAACAAATTATGGGGGACATTGTGAATGAGGCTCAAAGTGCTTTTATCAAAGGAAGACAAATTACTAGCAACATTGCCTTGGCTCATGAACTTGCTAAAAATTATTCCAGGAAAAACATCTCATCAAGAATCATGTTGAATATTGATATTAGGAAAGCTTTTGACACAATAAATTAGGACTTTTTGAAAGTAATGCTTCAAGGACTGAGGTTCCCGAAAGTAATGGTTAATTGGATCATGGCTTGCATTTCCTCTCCAAAATTCTCAATTTCTCTTAATGGTTCTCTTCATGGATATTTTGAAGGAAGAAGAGGGTTAAGACAGGGTGATCCCCTATCCCCATACCTATTCATTTTGAGCATGGAGTACTTGTCGAGAAAATTGGATCTTTTGAAAAGTGACAGAGTATTCAAATATCATCCTAAGTGTAATAAGCTCAAAATCTCGCATCTTATTTTTGCGGATGATCTACTTCTATTTGCCAAAGGGGACTTGTACTCAGTTTAAAAATTATATCAATGCATCAGAGATTTCAGTGAGATCACTGGTTTGGAAGCTAATTTGGATAAATGTGCTGTATACTATGGTGGGGTGAATATGCTTCTGTCAAAGAGGCTATACACAGTTTCTTGGGCTTCAATGAAGGCACTCTTCCTTTCAAATATCTGGGGGTTCCTCTGATCTATAAAAGGCTTTACAATTGAGGATTGTAATCCTCTTACTGAAAAAATTACAAGTCAGTTTCAAAAATGGTTAAAGCATGATAACCTATCCTATGCGGGGAGAATTCAGGTGATTAAGAGTGTTATACTGGGGGTCCAAAACTTTTGGACATCAAATTTCATCCTACCTGTTAAAGTTACCCAAAAGATCGATGAGTTATGTAGGAAGTTCTTATGGGAAAATCTAAAAATTCTTTTAGAACTCTGCTGGTATCATGGGATAAAATTTGCAGTGGTAAAAGACAAGGAGGCTTGGGTGTTTTCTCAGCTTCTATTTGGAACTTGGCATCAGCTTTGAGAAGCTTGTGGTATATTCATGTCAATAAGGAAGTGTTGAGGGTAAAATGGATTCATGGAAACTACTTAAAGCATTTAGATGTTTGGCATGTTCTCGCAAAAACTGGGGACTCTTGGTGTTGGAAACAACTTATCAAAATCAGAAATAAAGCTCTGGTTGTTATGGGAGGAGTAGATAATTTGAAGCATATGCTGAGTTCTTGCTATAAGAATTCAAAAATTAAACTGTCTGCAGTCTATGAAAAATTCTCCCCAATAAATCAAAGAGTGTCCTGGTTTGGTACAGTATGGGGAAAGATGAATTATCCAAAACATGCATTTGTATTTTGGCTTGCAGCTCAGAACAGACTTCTTACTCAAGACAGATTGATGAAGAGAGGAACAATAAACACAAATATATGTTACTTGTGTTCGGCTGCAGCAGAATGCAGAAATCACCTGTTTTTTACCTGCCCTTTTTCAAGAGAAGTGTGGCTATCTATTATGGACTGGCTTAAGTTTGATTAGCAAGCCTGTGAGTACATACTGATGGATTGGTTTATCACCAAGTTGAGAGGAAATGGGTTCAAGTAGAACTTGAAGAGGATGGCAATATCGGCGGCTATTTACAGTATCTGGAGGGAAAGGAATCTCAAGTTCTTTCAGCAGAAGATTAGAAGTGCTTTTCAAGTGGTTAGGAATATCAAAATTGATATTTTAACCATCTACATGAATAATCCTATTTCAGCAGAAAATAAAGATTGGATTACATCTTTGTGAAGTTAGTTAGTTTGATAGAAGTTAGTTAGTGTCATTAGAAGATTTTTGGTTAGCTTTCTCTCTTTAGAGATCTCGATGTTCATAACTGTTTTTTACTTTGGTAAATGAAATAAAATTACTTCATTGACAAAAAAAAAAACAAAATGCGAAAATGGATAGAAACTTTAATTATTAATTATTAAATGAACCACATATATTCACGTCATCTCCAAAAAAAGGCAAAAACCAAATAAACGCCTTAAAATCTCAGTGCATAGCAATGTTGATCAAGAAAGGAATATGAAAATTATAAAGATTATGGAGAAAGCGAGCTCGAGGATCCTGAAACAGCGAAGAGAAAAGGGAACTATATTTGTCTCTTTTGTTCCCTATCTAAATTTTAATTATGAATTGGATCGTTGGATTGGAGAAGCGTGATAAATTTTTATTGTTGTTTATAACGATTTGGTGGGCAAGGATTAGTTGTAATATTTTTTATCATTAGTGCAGATAAGTTTATATTTAGTGTACAAAGTGTTAGTGGAGTGTTATGAGTGGGTGTTTAATTTGAAAATTAACAGCAATCAATTGGGAGGTTATGAAAAATTATATGTATGTCTTCATATATGTATGCATGGATGTGCAAGCAATGGAGAGGTTATGAAAACTTGAGCATGCATGTATTGAATGGATGTGCTGGAGGACATTCGAGAAGAAATGCTTCATGATAGCCCACTTTTCTAATAGTATTAAATTTATTTGTAAGATATAAATTTATATGACCAGAAGGTAAGCTTTTTAAATAAATATTTAATTAAGAGCTTTTCTGACAGGTGCCGATAGATACTCATTAGAGGATGAGAGGTATAGAGAGAAGGGAAGTAAATTAGAGAAAGGATTTGGATTCTCTCCACTACAAAAAAGCAGTGGAGAGACCACTGCTTTTAATCTTAATCGTTGATTATTTAGTAGACGGTTATGATACAATCTAAATCTAACACTTACCATACCCCCGTGTATTATTTAGTAGACGGTTATGATACAATCTAAATCTAACACTTACCATACCCCCGTGTATTGCACTCATTCTTAATTTGCACTAAAAGAAAAAATCACAACCATTAACTAGATAATCAATGGCCGTGATTATGTAGTGGTCCCTCCACTGTTTTTTTGGTTGGTAGTGGAGAGGATCCGAATCCAAACCGTACGTTAAATTAGTAGACAATCGAATTGACTATATATCTAGCTTAAAATCTATTCCTTTATGAATTGAATAAGTGAACTACCTAATCGAATGTGACCAGATGGCTCCAAACAATAATCAACGAATTATACGTGAATTACTTAGTTCACTCCCACCCCCGGCCAACTGATACCTGTATCATTCCTTCGAGGTAGTTTCCGTTGTAGTGGTCCTCCCCCTCCCTCTCCTGCATCTCCACCAAAGCCTCAACTACAGTAGTATTAGCAGTATTAATGCTCTTCTTGTCTTTCTTCTTGTTGCATCTTTGTTTTCTTACCTCGTCCAACAACTCAGCCACCAGGTCACCCAGCTCCCTCCTCACCCTCCTCCTCTCCGCTCTATCCCACAACCCCGCACCCACCCACTTCAAGAACGGCAAAAGATCCGCCACGCTCACAGCGTTTATCAGGCGGAAGTACTCCTCCACGGCCCAACGAAACTTCCTCCCGATCTCCGTAGCATCGTCTTCATCCTCCCCGAAGCACCGCTTCCCTGCTACCGCCCTCATTATCACATTCATCGTCAGCTCAGACAGCTTCGGCCGTAAAGTGCAGACTCCTCCCCCTCCTTTCCCTTTTCTGAGAAGGGATCTTAGCATGACTTTGACTTCTTGATGGATGATTCCGGCGGAGAGGGACTGGATGATGGCTGGGGAAAAGAGGACGGCATTGGGCGCGTCGGCGATGGCTTTGCCAGAGGGGCCGAAGCGGGGTGGAGCCGAAGGCGTGTGGTCGAAGGTGAGGTCCTTGACGCTGGGGAGGAAAGGGCGGTCGGAGAAGGTGAGGTCGTTCTTGACCAGGCATTCTTGGATGGCGGCAACGGAGGAGACGACAACGGCGCGACGGGAGCCGAGACGGAGGAGGAATACGGGCCGTATAGGCGGAGAGCGGAGGAGGGAGTGATGGAGGGGGAGGGAGAGGAGCGTGCAGGTGGCGATGATGGGGAGGGAAGGGGGAGATGGAGGGAGGGGAGGAGAGATTGGACGGTGGCGGGGTGGCGCCGGAGGTGGAGGAGGAGGATGGTGGAGAGGGTAGCCAAGAGGATGAGGAGGGTGTTGTAGTCCTCCATATTGCAAAATGTTACGTTCAAATGATGATTGTGAGGCTCGTTTGAGCAGGGTCCTTATAAGGAAAGAAAATTGACATGTACGAGCAGGGTAGTACATTTTGTTAAATAACTACTGAAATATGTGGTAATGCCTATTCTTCTAGTTAAATCAAGAAGAGAAGTCACAATCTATTTTCTTATTTTTGTTTCTTTGAAATGACGGGAATGAGCCCCAGCCCGCTAAAACTACCAAAAGAACTTGACCGGTACGAATCAAAAATATAAATTGTCCTTTGATATTTACACACTTAACATTTGGCGCAAAGGGATAGGGAGCAGTGATCAGGAAGAACGGTTAATATAATTAGTCCATTTATTAATCTAAAGCTCTGTTTAGCAAAGGGTTAATTGAGGATTAAGAAGAGTTAGCTATTGAAACAAAGTGGCAAGCCTAGAGGTGGGGTAGGGGGATTGAATAGGTTTCCTACAAAATTTCACTAGAATACAGAATATGCGGCAAAAATAATAACAAAATAAAAACAAAAATCTAAAACCAAGAATACTCAAGATTTTTATAGTGGTTCGGATAGAAATCCTACATCCACTCTACCTTCTCACGAAGGGCTTTATTCGTTATGACCAGAGTTCACCTAAATCACAACCCGATTTAGTAGGCTTACAAACACTGTGCTCTAAAATCTACCCAAAACTAGTTGTCTAACCTAACTCCTCATAGATGAGTAAAGCAGCCAGCCCTACCTAGTCCCAACTCTCAATTATCACTGTCTTGAGTACGCCATGAAAAACAAACCAACCAAACTGTTTAAGCATAAATTAAAAAAAAGCTTACAGCTCTTTTAAGCAAATGGTTCTTCAGAAGATATAAGAAAAGATCAATAAAGAAGTGGTGATGATGTTGAACGCTAAGGGCAAATCTCCTCGCTGAGACGATCCTTAGATGCTGAGCGTGACGAGAAATAGTTTTACGATCCTCTAAGGATTGAAATCACAAGTCAACTTCTTTACTCAAAACCCTAGAATAAATCTCTCAATTTCTCAAAGCATGAACATCTTCAAGATATGATCTCTTTCTATCTTATATAGCATTTAATAATAAAGGAAAGAGATATAAGAATCATAGTATAAGGTGGAGATGAAAGGGGTTGCCGAACAACTGCAATTGAATCACTGAATTTGCCAACTAGCATTGTCACCATCAATGATAAAATGCGAACATCGATGGTCCCTTACTTATCATCGATGATACCCAGTAGTCCAATTATCTGAATTCTGTTTTCTAAAAGTTATTGAATATTCACTATAGTCCATCAATGATGTAGCGGACCATCAACGGGTCACTGTAGTCCATTGATGGTAACTGAATCCAGTTTCCATCTTTCTCCAATTATGCACTATAATCCATCGATTGACAGTTGACCACGATGGTTGCCTCGTGACCATTGATGGTGTGAAGGCTTAAATCAGCATTCATATTGAGTTTTACATCATTTTTCCGCGTATCTCTAGTATACATGTTTATATCTAAAATATATCATCTGATATAATCATCGGTAATAAATATAGAGTTTGTTATTATATATCAAACATGACATATTATACGAGCAACATTTTAACAATCTCTCCCTTTTTATAATAACAAAACTCAAATTTTAAAATGCAGAATACAATACATTTTGAGATATATATATTTAGCAAAATAAGCGCATAAACACTTTTTCATGCAAAGGAAAACAATATGCGAAGCTCCTCCTTCATTCATGCATTATGAAAGTGTAAACATGTACTGAAATCACAAAGCTCCCCCTAAATCTTTGCGTACACAGCATATATCATGAAAGTAGCATGCAAAAAAATTCAAATCTTCCACTTCTCTCCCACTTTTGTTATTAGCAAAAGATAAACATAACAATGGTTAAACTTTATACTCAAAAAATTCAGATAAAAGAAATCATCACTTAAAAAATTCAGATAAAAGAAATCATCCAAAGGCACAAGGAAGAGAAATACATATCGACTCACAAAGAGATTGTAGAAAAATAGCACAAGAGATACAAATATAACTTCAAAATACAGAAAACACATACAAATATCATATTAAGAAATAAGCACAAACTAATAAGAAAAAAGTATGTGAAACAAATACAAAATTATATTAGTTCATAAAAAATTAGATATATCGTAAAATAGTTTTGAGCTTGTAGCACAATTTGAATTATCTCAACCTTAATTAGAATTAAGATCTAAAATCTCGCTCTATCATGCTAGCCATAAAAGGATTTTTCAGAGGAAAAACCATAGAGTTTGGTCGGCGATGTACACCACCTCTAATATAGGACATATTTAGTATAGGATACATATCCTTGAGATATGCACACATATATCCATGAGTGTGAGTCTTTGACCATCTTTTTACAAATACACTCAATTTTACCATGAATTCATAGAGTGTGGATCTTTCATCTTATCATAAAAGCACTCTTTTTGCTTGGAATTTTTATAACACATATGTACTTTGTACATATAAAGAAATTTGGTGCTGTATTCAAGTATAAGAATGAGATGAAACCTTTTTTATGTATCCAAAAATACTTTCTGAACAACATATAAAACCATTTATTATTATTTCACAACACTAAACATGATAAATATAAAACTAAGTGTGTAAAACATAATATGAAAAATCTGGTGAAACGGCAAGCATATCTTTATCAATTGTTCACACATGTAATATGTAAATATATGTGAAAATAATATGTGAATCAATATAATATATCAAGCCTATATACCAACAGATAATCTTATCTGGATTTATCTTGTAAAAGCATATACATAGGCATGACCAAAAGTTTTTTTTAATTTTTCAAAGAAAACAAAAAGAAAGAAAAAAAATTTATTTTGTTTTTATTTTTCATAAGAAAATAAAAGGAAAGAAAGAGAACTTTTTGTTTTATTTTTATTTTTCCATTAGAAAATTAAAAAAAGAAAGAGAAATCTTTGTTTAGTTTTTGATTCAGAGAAATCTTTGTTTAGTTTTTGATTTTCCATAAGAAAATAAAAAGAAAAAAAAGAGAAATTGTTATTTTGTTTTTTATTTTCCATAAGAAAACAAAAAAAAAGAAAGAGAAATTTTTTATTTTTTTAAAACCAAGTGAAATAAAGAAAAAATAAAAAAAATATGTAAATGCAACATGTCAGGTAAGGATAAATAAATTAATGGCTAAGTAGATTATCTAATCAACTAAGAGCAAATAAAAAGTTAGTACATAGCATTGTATCTCAAGCATCACCACATACATGTCCAGGATTAAAAAATAAAAGTGAAGGAAAAAAAAACAACATAGACCAACCATAACCACATAGGCCTCTCATATGTCATCTCTCCTCATCTCCTCATCATGATCTCTAGGTGCTGCTCTGGGAAAAAGTCACCATAAATTGGTGGTATACTAGGGATGGATCTGACCTGCAAAGGGTACCCATGAGATATTGCAAATAAGCATCGTAGTATGTGTGCTGCATGGTCATGTCAACTCTCATGGACGACAAGTCAATGTTCATCATCTATATATACTCTCTCTTCTAATGAATCCAAAGTTCAACAAGCTCCACTGTCTCCAGAAAGGCTGGGAATAGCATCATCAATAGGATAGGATCCAAATGGTTGCCCAACTGAAGTCTCCCCCATATCCCTAGCTCATGTGCTCTTCCTAGCAATCTCATCACACAATAGCTCTCACCTTCTCAAGCTAATCAAAATCCAAAATATAAATCTTCTGATCCTAACAAATCCTCATGATAAGAAAATGATACACCAACTGAGTCTTTTGCTTCGTCCTCTTCTCAAGACTCTCCTTGGTAGGAGTAGCAACTATATGTTAGTTTTCTTTATAGTAGTGGCCCACGTTTTAGATTAGTGGTCATGATTTATGATTAGTTTTATAACTAATTACTTATGCTAAATTCCTATTGGTCAAAATAACTACCCACATTGATGGATTGTGAGTGGTTATTCTATTTAAAAGCTTGGTCCTCTCTCTACCCGTTAAGGTGAATTTTTTCTCTCCATCAAGAAATTTTCGGAATGGCATAAGAGGGTTAGGAGAGAGAAACTCAAGTCTTTAAGATTGTTCAAGTTTCTTCAAGTTTCAAATCATGGATCAAGGTACGTTTTTTTCTTAATTAATGTTCATAGTGAAAATCATATGTTCTAAGATCTTGGTATTATGATGATTAAATCAAAATAAAGTTTGATTTACTTAAGAAGTTATGTTAACATGTGGTATCAGAGCCTTGATTAAGGAACTTATGATTTTCCATCAATAATTCTATTACTGTTAATTAATTAAATGTTTAAAAATTTGCTAATTATATTTTTCCGCTGATTATAGAATACAATTTGTTATTTTGATAATTTCGTATTCAATTGAATACATCACTGCAAAATTCGAAACTTGTTTGAATTCGGAACTAACTGATCCTTTAATATGTATACATATTATGATTATATTAAATACTTTAATGCAAATAGCCTAGTGGTAAGGTTTGAGGATTTGGCCTAGAGGTTTGGTGTTCAAACCCCTAGGGCTACACCAAATATTAATGGTCTTTGATGGGCCTTGGGCCTTGGGTTCCTAATGATATTTTTACTAATTCGTTTTATTTATTTTTTCATTATTAGCTGCCTAATTCAATTCTGCTGCTGCTATATCTATTTAGCCTGCATGATATTTCCATTTATGTCAATGCACTAATTATGCATGGATTGTTAATGTTCATGAATTACTATTTGCGGGCTTACTATAACGTTATTATCTAAATCTCATTTTACAATTTGAACTTTAATGAATGGTTTGTTAGTCACCAAAGTGGCCATACCTTGAAGTCTCATGCTTATCAAATTGTAATAATATAATTTCAATTACTCATGATTAAGTGATGCTACTAATGAAATGACATGATCGCATAAATACATACATTGTCATGAGTAAATTGAGGTTTATTGATTATAAAATATTTAAGAATAGCCCAAAGGTTGATTGGTAAATTTTATAATCTATAAACATGACTGTGGTTATTTATTACATCTGATTAGATATG